TGAAACAATGTATAAATTAGTGATTGATTGATAAATATGTTTGTTCAGGCTTGGGAGGAAGCACAACAGCTCCTAACCCAGGACTGGGTGGTCAAGTTCCCCAGCTGAACCAGGTTACACGCAGAGACATAAGGGTCCAGACTATATAATGAAGACACTAAGAGACATGTTGAGAACGATTCTGTAATGACTTCAAGAGATAACTTAAGGAATATAAACTATAAAAGAGTGTCCCCCCCAAAAAACTTTTCGTTGGTGGTGTTGTATACTGAGGTAATAATGTTCGTTCTATTTTCACAATATTGATGTCATTGGAAAGCTCTATATTTCAGTTGTTTCAAAGTATAAATATTTTCTTTTTAGGCCTCAGCAATAATTATTTTTTGAACTAGAGCCAAAAAATAAACTTAGTATTAAAAATATGAATAAAAAAGGCTACGGTTTCCCTTATAGTCCGTACTCCGGTACATTCTTCAGCTAGCTTTTTCATCAAAAGTATTTGATCTAACCCATCTGGGCAAAAACTTTTCCACTTGTTTAGATTTTTAGATATTTGACTTATACTCAAAGCACTGATTGTAACAAAAAAGTGATTGTAACAAAAAAGTATCAGACCTAGAAAGGAAAAAAAGTAACTTGAAAAACTGAAATAAAGAGCTTTCCAATGACACTTTTTTTGAGACACCCTGTGAACATTAAAACTTTATAAATTAAGAAAAATAAAATTATCTTACTTCTTTCTAACATAATTTGGAAATTATTGGGGAGGGGGGTATTATTCAAGACGAAATTACATTTGTTTTCATTACATTATCTATCTAGGCTGCTAGTAGTAAAGTTGAACCCAAGAACAGCAAAGATCAAACTATACCAGGAGAGCTGAATACTACTGTGGACGATCTCAGGAAGTTTATTAAGGTAGTTAATAGACATTTTTACATATTTGATTAAATCAGAACTGACTGACTGACTGACATGAATAAATTAATAAGTTGAAAGGTAATAAAAAATATATTTAAGTATCAATAATAGAACAGATTATGGAATCCGGCTTGTAGGGATAAATGATCGAATAAAGACATGATAGGATAAATCAATTAATGAATTAATAATTCAACTATCCAATCCAAGGATGTAAGGCAAGGAAAGTCATTTCATAAGTGTACACATCTTTAGTACTGCAGTGTACTGTCTCTGGGCGCTAATGTAAACACAAGACGGATGTCGAAACCTGACATTGGATCCATCATTTACATAAAAAATCAGTGAAATATTCTGGTCATAGGAAACTATTATGTGAATTATCAAAATTATCAGAATTTAATGCTTTTAACCTCCTCGGATACTAAACAAACACTGATGCATCTATTATTGTTTACAAATTCCGCCCAGAGAAAACTGGTTTCAATATGTACACAGAGTATACACAACCGCAATTGACTTTCCTTGCCTTACATTCTTGATCCAATCAATCAATAAATCAATATATTAAAGGAGGAGCGAGCAGTAAGTACAGATATAAGCCATGTATCAGAGAAGATGTACACCAAGATTAAAGAAGAAACTGATGCACTCTCCCAGCTTGGTAAATATCACTAAATTCGATCTTCATTAAATCTTTGAAAATTTTGAAAATCCACGAAATTTTTTGTGAAAATCCGCGAATTATTTTTGTTTTGTTTTACGATGTACACAAAGAGAACATGTTCACAATTAATTTAGAAGATGGGCGCGAAGCGCCCACTAAGGCTAGTTGTTATATTGTTATATTGTTATATTGTTCGCTTAGATACCATTTTCGGTAATAAAAAGCGATTCAAAATTGATATTTTTCACTATATATGCTCGACATTTTTCACATGATCATCGTAATTGTTCTTGAAAATGTTTAAGGTTTTAGACTCTTTAAATAGTTCGGCAAACTGTTCCATGGGTTTATCACTCTCACAGAAATTACGTCTACAGTCCATCTGAGCTGTTTCTTCCTTTATTTACATTTTGAAATAACACCAATAAAAAAGTTGCGCAAATTTTCCAAAAATTAAATATTTTGAGACGATTTTTATTTCTGTCACTTCCATAAACCTTCCCTGGGATCATTGTCTATGTTTTTTTATAAAACAAACAGACAAGCAAAATATATGTATCTATATATATAAAGTTGTAACCTCTGTTTGTCTGTTTTGTTGTATGTCCAATCATAACTCATGAACCCCTTGACCGAATTACCTCAAATTTTGATTGGGGAACTTGGAAGTACCACGGGAATGTTCTTAGCTTGGTTTTGAGATATTAAGTTGAGTGGGTCGAGTGGGAAAAATAGTTAATATATTAATTTAAGATCAAGCCTGTGTAAACCGTGGGAGTAAGTATGAGTATTGAGTGACCTGAGGAACGCTGGGTTCCCAAACTAGTATTAAACAAAATCTAGTTATGTTTAGGAATTGTTAAATATGGAGATAGCGCAGAGAACCAAGGAAACTCCCCCCAGTATGCAGTAAGTGTTAAAATATTGTAAAAACAAAAATCAAATTTGAAGTTAATATTTTTCTTTTTTAAATAAAAAATCGCGAAAATTTTAGAAATGAAAGGAAAAAGGCCTTATCTGTCGAGACAATAAGATATGAATATGCCTACTTAAAAAAGACAATTACCACATCCTTTAACGTTATCCTTCAAGATTGAAATAAAACCTCACAATTTTGAGCTTTTATAATTTTTTTTTATTTAGGTATGAGAATGTTGCACCAATGGACTATTTTCTCAACCTGGTGACAAAATTCGAAACAGATATGACAGATTATAGAAAACAGATAGATGAGACACATCAATATCTACAGGTATATAGAAACAGATAGATGAAACACATCAATATCTACAATGAAACACAATAATATCTACAGGTATATAAAAACAGATAGATGAAACACATTAATATCTACAGGTATATAAAAACAGATAGATGAAACACAATAATATCTACAGGTATATAGAAACAGATAGATGAAACACATCAATATCTACAGGTATATAGAAACAGATAGATGAAACACATCAATATCTACAGCTACATAAAAACAGATAGATGAAACACAATAATATCTACAGGTCTATAGAAACAGATAGATGAGACACATAAATATCTACAGGTATATAAAAACAGATAGATGAAACACAACAATATCTGCAGGTATTTAGAAACAGATAGATGAAACACATCAGTATCTACAGGTATATAGAAACAGATAGATGAAACACATCAGTATCTACAGGTATTTAGAAACAGATAGATGAAACACATCAATATCTACAGGTATATAAAAACAGATATGCCAGATTTAGGAAACAGAAAGATAACACTCAAATTAATATTTACAGTAAAACAAAAACAGAAAGATGAGACTTATTTTGATAATGACCAGTAAACATATTTTCTTTTATATTAATCTTTTTAAATTGTTATTTTTTCAGACCATGGGATCAGGAGAACGTGTTACAAGCTCAGATATAGTTCAGGTTTTTTTTACCTTATTCACTAGGGTTTGGATGTGGGTTGTCACAAAAAAAAACAGAATTAATTTGATTTTATTTATTCTTGTTTCTTAACTTTTTTTTTGTCTAAATCGTTATTCTACCGGACTTGCAATAACTTTTTCATTATTGTGCTCTTCTCAGTTTCTCAAGATTATTTTAGAATTTTCCTCAGTCTTCTTATCTACCCTTTTAAAGTGGTTTTACTGTGTACTGGCTGAAGTGACTGGCGTTGAACGTGGTATTTCTAAAATATTTACTTTGTACTGGCTGAAGTGACCGGCGTTGAACGTGGTATTTCTAAAATCTTCCAATACTGACTTTTAGTATGCTGTTATACTGTGACGTAGTCATTGGCCTAGTCCTCGCAATGTTGGTACACACTAGACTTGTGATTTATCAACTGGAAATTAATTTTCGTCCTTTAGTGGTTACCTTTGAAGAGGACTTGGCCTAGATATGCACGGAAGGATGATTGTTTAGTCATATATTTATTTAATATCACTGTTTCTAAATTGTTATTGTTATCCTTTTATTAAGTTACATCTTTCAAGGATTGACCGTTTCTTGTATAATGCTTCCATATTCCATATTTCTATAATTTTTTTTGTTTCGCCGCTCTGCTATGTACAAATATTATTTGTCAATTTATTTTCGTCTGCTGGATCAATTTTTATTTAACCTTTTTTAAAAATCGTTAAATTGAATTTAGGCTGTACACCGTCTTCATTCTGCCTTTACTGATTTAGCTGCCAGATACCAGTGTATTCATCAAACCCTAGCTAGATGTAAACAGCAGTACATTAGTGTACATAGGTTAGTTAACAGATATGATTCATCTAACCCTAGCTAGAAGTAAAAAGCCGTACATTAGTGTACTTAGGTTAGTACACAAAAATATTATTCATCAAACCCTAACTAGATGTAAACAGGAGTACACTAGTGTACATAGGTTAGTACAGAGATGATGCATCCTAACTAGATGTAAACAGCAGTACACTAGTGTATACAGGTTACTACACAGATGATGCATCCTAACTAGATGTAAAGTGGAGTACACTAGTGTATACAGGTTACTACACAGATGATGCATCCTAGCTAGATGTAAACAGAAGTACACTAGTGTATACAGGTTACTACACAGATGATGCATCCTAGCTAGATGTAAAGAGGAGTACACTAGTGTACACATGTTAATACACAGATGATGCATCCTAGCTAGATGTAAACAGGAGTACACAGGTTAGTACACAGATGATGCATTCTAGCGAGATGTAAACAGGAGTACACAGGTTAGTACACAGATGATGCATCCTAGCGAGATGTAAACAGGAGTACACAGGTTAGTACACAGATGATGCATCCTAGCTAGATGTTAACAGCAGTACGCTAGTGTACACAGGTTAATACAGGTTAATACACAGATATTGTTTGAAAACAAATTATTTTCATTTTAAGTTGAAGATGGATTTCAATTTTTTAATTAATCAATTTCAACTCTAGTGTGTCCTATTAAAAGTGATATGCGGATTTCTGTTAGAAACAATGAAGGAAATATGCGGATTTCTGTTAGAAACAGTGAAGGAAATATGCGGATTTCTGTTAGAAACAATGAAGGACATTTTCTGAATTAATACAATTTTCTAACTTGAAAAACGAGAATTTGTTTCGTTCCACATAATTGACCAGATTTTAAGAGTTTGGTATATGGATTGGGGCCCTCTTTAAATACAAGTTCACTTGAAACTACAACAATACATAATAAACTAGAAACATAATTGCTACGACTTTGTGACCTCTTAGCTCATATAGGTTTGATTTGATGCAGTTGGAAAACAAGTTCATCTTGTGACATATTAGAAATTTGATTTGATAAGATCTCAATCTTACGTAAACTTGTCTTTAGTTTGATGTAAGCAGTCTATTTATTTCTAAATATAGGCTGGACCTGCTCTGCCTCTATTGAATGGACCAAGTCCCTTCCCCTTCTAAATATTGGCGGCACCTTCTCTGCCTCTATTGAGTGGATAAAGTCCGTTCTCCTTCCCCTAGTTAATTTATTTCTAAATATAGACAAGACCTGCTCTGCCTCTATTGAGTGGACCTAGTCCCTTCTGCTTCCCCTAGTCCATTTTTATATATAAATAAAGCCTGGACCTTCTCTGCCTCTATTGAGTGAACCAAGTTCCCTCTCCTCCCCTTAGTCCATTTATTTCTAAATATAGACAAGACCTGCCCTGCCTCTATTGAGCGGACCTAGTCCCTTATACTTCCCCTAGTCCATTTATATATAAGTAAAGGCTGGATCTGCCCTGCTTCTGTTAAGTAAATCAAGTCCCTTTTCCTCCCCTTAGTCCATTTATTTCTAAATATAGACAAGACCTGCCCTGCGTCTATTGAGTGGACCAAGTCCCTTTTCATCCCCTTAGTCCATTTATTTCAAAATATAGGCTGGACCTGCTCTGCCTCTATTGAGTGGACCTAGTCCCTTTTCCTCCCCTTAGTCCATTTATTTCTAAATATAGGCTGGACCTGCTCTGCCTCTATTGAGTGGACCAAGTCCCTTCTCGTCCCCCTCGGATCCTCTAATACTAGCTAGGGCTGCTCTACCCAACAAACCTCAACACAACGGTAGGATTTAATATTATTTGTCAAAGTGTTATTTTAATTGACCCTCCATGTAAAGATGGCAATGGCCGATTTACAACTTTGTACCTTTAACAGCTTTGTCTTATTAAATATTGATTAGATATCAATGTTATTAATTTTGAAAACTGATTATTTTCAATTGGGGTTTCTCTACAAAAAAGACTTGCGCATTTCTAATAAAGGTGAACAGATAGGAAATGTCGGAATTAAACACTTTTAACTTAGAATAACCACAATATCTTCCACAGTATTGATCAGATAAAGGTTTCAAGGGTACCGTTGTTATAACTAGTTATAAACTATTGCAACCAGTTTAACTAATATATAGTACGGAAACTATTTTTGCTGAAATCCCTTTATATAATTTTTTTAGATTCTTGAAAATAATTTTATTTGAAAATTCTTTCAGCTGGAATGGGTCCTCCAACTCTGGGTCTGAATACAAGTGCTGCCCCTGCTGGAGCATTTGGAAGCTTCTCCGCTAACACCAGTTTCGGTGCTAAACCATCCGGGTTCGGTGCCAATACCTCCACATTCGGTCTAAATACAACAGGAATTTTGAAAATTTTCAGATTCTATTTTTCATTTCAACACCATAACAACTTCCAGGCTTTCAGCAAATGTTTTAATTTATTTTTAAGAATTTTGAAAATTTTAAGATTCTATTTTTCATTTCAACACCATAAGTTATGGTCCATAACAACTTCCAGGCTTTCAGCAAATGTTTTAATTCATTTGTATAAATTTTCAAATATTTCTGATTATAGGAACCCCAAGCCTTTTTGGTAATACCACAGGGTTTGGCGGAAACACTTCTGGATTTGGCGGGAATACCTCTGGATTTGGCGGGAACACTTCTGCATTTGGCGGGAACACCTCTGCACTTGGCGGGAACACCTCTGGATTTGGTGCAAACACCTCTGCATTTGGCGGGAACACTTCTGGTCTGGGCACAAGCTTTTCGTCTCCCCCTTCTGGGAGCAAAAGGAACAAGATCTAACCTTCTTCAATTGATCCCAGTAAAAATATTTTTCCACGAACACTTGTTGGACATTTTCTTTATTTCAGATAAATCTGCATTCAATGGTGGTTTGACGCCATGTTGAAAATGGCCGGGGATCAGATAACACGTGGTGGAGTGTGGAACCGGTTTTCCTGGCTAGCCGAGGAACTGCCGGGGTTTGGTGTGAAGGGCTCCCAGGTTAAAGTGCTGGTTCAGCCCGCTGACTTCTACCAGGTAGGTTAACACTGTTCCCTTCCTAAAACCAAAGATTTGTAACTAAATATAAAAAAAATTCTGACTGAAAACCTAAAATCCGGAAAATGAATGGAAGCTTTAATTTGGATACTGCAATTCATGAGACTCTCCCTACAATTCATGAGACCCTCCCTGCAGCCCTGCAATTCAAGAGACCCTCCCTGCAATTCTTGAGACCCTCCCTGCAATTCATGAGACCCTCCCCGCAATTCATGAGACCCTCCCTGCAATCCATGAGACCCCTTGCAATTCATGAGATCCTCCCTGCAATTCATGAGGCCATCCCTGCATTGCATGAGGCCATTTATGCAATACATGAAGCCCTCCTTGCATTGCATGAAGCCATCTCTGCCATGCTTGAGGCCAGCACTGCATCGCATGAAGCCATCCCTGAAATGCAGGAGGCCACCATTTCAATGCATGATTTGATTTATTTTCCAGGAGCTGTTGACTCGGTCAAGAACTAGTCAAAGAAGAATAGTTCTCTCCTCCCTCTATCTTGGAACTGGAAACAAGGAACCAGTTTATTTATAGTTCTGCTATCCCACCCTTCACTCCTCCCTATTGTCATCTGAAATGGAGGGTCACTTGAAATTATGTTCATAGTCCTTTTTAAAATTATATGTTTAAGACAGAAATCTAAATTTAACCTTCAGATCGTCACATTTATAGAATTCTACCGATGAGATATTCTTGGAAGAAATTTGTTTGTTTGTAAAGCAACATTTTTGGTTTTGATTGATGTTTTTTTGCCCCTTGGATCCGGATCCTTGGATCCGCATGTATTTGCGGATCCGGATCCAGGAAGCCAACATTTTACGGATCCAACGGCTCAACTTTTTTGGATAACCAGCTGGAGTTATACTGTGTGCAAACATAGTTAAACTCATTTATATAATTTATAAATTTTTATCGTATCTTAATGTTTTTTTTTGTAATTCTGCAAAAGTCTTAAAAATTAATTTTAAACTTGGACTGCAGGAGAAAGCTTTGCTTCAAGGGATACAAGAAAATGTTGATGGAAATAAGAATTTAAGGTATGTACTGTGTATGAAAAAAGTTGAAGTAAATATATATAATAGTGAACTTTTGGCACGCCTAGCCCGGAGAACAACTCCTCTACAGGATGGAATAGAAATATTCATTTTTTAAACATTCGTTTTTTCATAAAACTAAAGGGATGTGGGAAATATAAACTTTATAATTGGAATTTACTTCAACTCATAGTACACGATCTATTGCAATTTGAATCGCCATCCACATCAACATATCGAGCATCAAGATCTATCCCACCGCTGCCACCACGTAAGTGTGGTAGTACTAACCTGTCCTAGTCCAAAGCCGGACTTCCAGATCTGAAACTTCAGATCGTTGAACTCATGGTACATGATGTATTGAAACATGAAAGGTCATCACATAAACTCCTGGGGGAAAGTAGGGAATGGGGAGGACAATGTACAGGATTGATGTACTGTACTCTACTGTACAATGTACAGGATAAATATACTCTACTCTAGGGTACAATGTACAGGATAAATGTACTGTACTCTACTGCACAATGAAAAGGATAAATTTACTGTACTCTACTGTTCAATGTACAGGATAAATGTACTGTACCCTACTGTACACTGTACACTGTACACTGTACAGGATAAATGTACTGTACTCTACTGTACACTGTACAGGATAAATGTTCCGTACTCTACTGTACACTGTACAGGATAAATGTACTGCTGGATTGGTGTAGAGGAACTAGAATGACCGGCCAGGAGTCATCAGCCAGCCTACTTGCAAACCTAGTCAGGTTGTGACTTTATAAAAGGTAGAAATAATATTAATATGAAATCATCTTAGAGGACTTTATAAAAGGTAGAAATAACATTAATATGAAATCATCTTAGAGGACTATATAAAAGGTAGAAACAATATTAATATGAAATCATCTTACCTTGTGCACGCACGCTGCTGAAATCATCTTACCTTGTGCACGCACGATGCTGAAATTCTTCTTTTTCCTGACATAATTTTGGAATGGTTTTAACGGACTACATTTCAATCTGATATCAGACATTTTGCATTTTTCCGATTTTCGGTAACAAGGGGTAGTATTATTAATCATTGTACCTGTCTTTAGCTACCTGCTACAGTGCTTAGGTATCTACCTTTACCCCCTTTCCAGTTTATTTCAAGTATTATAAACTTCCTGTACCCCCTTTCCATTTTAAAGAACAGTTTATTTAAAGTATTATTAACTACCTATACCCCCTTTCCATTTTAGTGAACAGTTTATTTATAGTATTATTAACTACCTATACCCCCTTTCCATTTTAAAGAACAGTTTATTTAAAGTATTATAAACTTCCTCTACCCCCTTTTCATTTTAGTGAACAGTTTATTTAAAGTATTATTAACTCTATACCCCCTTTCCATTTTAAAAAACAGTTTATTAAAAGTATTATAAACAACTCATCAACACCATCGATTATGTGCATTATCTTATTTTAATCTTTTTTATCTTAATTGATTTGTATAATTTTTTTTAGATTTATGCCTGCAAGATGGAATGAGACAATAGGTACAACGTTTTTTCTATTTTCGTTTATTTTTCTAAATCAGATTTTTTCTGTTGAAAGCTGAATCTAGAGAAATAATGATCTCAAATCTTCTCTAAAAAATTAGTTATTAATTTGTTCGATTTTTGGGTTTGTTAGGGGTTATGTTCGAAAAAAAGGCTAAAGTTGGACCCATTAAATTTTGTAATAGGAAGACGACATTTAAGTTATTTGGTTCCCTTACATTTTTAAACTTGATTTCATTTGAAGCAATCTTATGTGTATCTGATGTTGTTAGAAGACAAATAGAAATAGGGTTGTGAATAATACGGCAGAACTGTGTGTTTCACTTATTATTATTTAATTTTCATTTGACTATTTAAAATCATAAATTGAGTCTGACTGTCGTCTTCCTATTTCACCAGGAAAAACCTCGTCAAAAAGTTTTTTTTCTTTTCAGGTTTGCAGCATTGTAAAATTTACATTTTTGACGACTCTGTGATAATCAGTGGAGCAAATCTGAGCAACGACTATTTTACAAACCGTCAGGACAGATATATCCTTGTGGAGAATTGTGAAAAACTGGCGGATTTTTACGACAAGTTTGTCCAGAAAATCTCCGAATTTTCTTTGCAAATGAACGAAGAACAGACATTTAAAATGTCGGAGGATTTTCCCAGTCATCCGTTCGAGTCTAGTTTAGCAGAGTTTAAAACGGAGAGTAATAATATTATCAAGGCTTTCTTGGAAGAGGAGAAAATTAAGGTAAAAACTTTGAAATTATATCAAAAAAGTTGTCCATTTTAACATTTTGCTTCTTTTTGTATTTGGGAGAAAACGAAATTTAGATTCTGATTCCGCATTATTCACTTCAAGAACTAATTGATTTAGAATAAGATTTCTGAAGAAGATTTGAATAATTTTGATACTTGGATCTTCCCTACAGTACAAATGGGTCCTTTGGACGTGACACAGGTTTTTTTTTACCTTTCTTGAATCTTAAATTTGATGTTTTTTTCACATTAGTTGAGCTACTCTGTTTAATATTTCGCAATTTTTGGTTGATTGATTCATTGATTGCTTCATAAATTCATTGATTCATAATTTCATTAATTCTTTCATTCATCCTTCATTCATCCTTTTATTTATTACTTCATCCTTTTGTTCATTTATTCATTCATTTATTCATTCAGTTATTCATTTAATCAGTCATTCATGTATTCATTAGTTCAATCGTTGATTGATTGACTGATTGATTGATTGCTTTAAAGGATAGTGAAGTGACAGTTAGTATTCTACGAAGTGGGGAACAAGATGGACGATTTGTTTTTGGTTCCGGATATTTCAATCTTACACAGGAACATATAGATCAGTTAACTTTCTTTTATGAAAGGGACTGTTAGCGTTATTTCAAGTGACTCTGATATAAGATGGCAATTCCAGATTCATAACAACGGGGGAATGAGATTAGGGTGCCCGATTAAACTGGTGGGGGAATCAGCACCTGACTGAGACCCTTACTCGGACGGCGGTCTGAGGATCCCACATTGAGGGTATTTTATGATCTTTTTCTAATACTAATACCATTGAAAACTTTATCTAATCAATAATGTGAAGATATTGTTGTTTTTCCAGGTTTGAAAGTGTGTAATTCTGTTAATTTCTACTTGGTTTCCTACATTAGAAATGCCCAAAGTCATTTTTGTAGAGATACCACAATTGAAAATAATCAGGTTTTAAAATTATAAACCATGATATCTTATCGATCAGACAAAGCTTTAATTGAATCGGTCTTTGCCATCTTTTTACAAAGGGTCACTTGAAATTACGCTTTCAGTCCCTTTAAACATGCTGACTTTCACTTTTTTGCAAATCAGTTGTTCCTTATTTTTAAATTGATCTTGATCTTGTAATAAGGAGTATCTGCACGAGATTTTACATAAATCTAAATCAAACTTTGATCTCATAATGGCGCATCCCAAGGTGAGTTCTGAAAACCAAACCAAATATGTTCAAAAAGCGACTGTTCGCGCATTTTCTTGATTTAGGCAAACGGATTTCTTGGTGCTAGAGGCGCGGCAGGAGGAATACCGCATGCATACACACACATTGCTAGTACGTTCTATACACTGGTGGGAGATAGGGATATGCAGCATAGAATCAGGAAAACCAGCACATAGGTTAATTATGCTTAAATATTGAGGTTTGATTTGAGTTCAGTTGGTGGTAATATTTATCCGCTTTTTTAATACTTTATATTTAAAAATTCAATTTTTTCCACATGAATCATTGGATTATTTTGAATTTATTTGGTTTGGTTAGAATGCATGAATATCAGAGGGATGGCTGGACATTTCATGCGAAAGGTGAATTTTTAACTTTGAAAGAGCATATAATATCATTCTAGGTCATATAAGGTTATTCTAGGTCATATAAGGTCATTCTAGGTCATATAGGGTCATTTTATGTCATATACGGTCATTCTAGGTCATATATGGTCGTTCTAAGTCATAAGGTCATTTTAGGTCATATAAGGTCATTTTAGGTCAAATAAGGTCATTCTTGGTCATATACGGTCATTTTAGGTCATATGGGGTTATATTAGGTCATATGCAGTCATTTTTGGTCATAAAAGGTGATTCTAGGTCATAAAACTTCATTCAAGGTCATAAAAGGTCATACTAGATCATATAAGGTCATTTTAGGTCACGCCAAACTGGGTCATGTTAGCCCTTGCTGACTGCAGAGGCAATCATAGGTCATTCCCCATAATGTAAGGCTATGTTTGGTCATTCTGGTTCATTTGAGGTTTAACGGGGTCAATTAATCTTGGGGTAGGTACGACTGTGATGGGTCATGGCTGTTATGTGAGGTCATGTCAGGTCATGTTAGGTATCATTTATTGCCATGATACGGCCATGTCGGAATTCTAAATGATTATTTAGTATAAGAAGCAGTGGTTATTTTAATAAATCATAATAATTGGAAGGTTCTTGCTTGTCCTCTCTCAGTAAAATAAGGCAAGAACTCATATACTTGTGAATAATATAGAAAAAGTTTTCTTGTTTTTTAAATGGCAACTCGTTTTTCTGTAAGTGTAATCTCTTATTATTTTAGTATAATCTTTTTTTTCTTTTACTTATTCTCTTTTTTACATTTCTTTTTTTGTTCTTTGTTGAATTTTATTCCAGGATAATAATAAAAATATCAATAAACACAAGTTTATTGTGTACCAACATGGCATGGGATGGGCTAGACCAATGACAAAACATCTCCACACCCTACTGTAGACTAACAGTCCCCTGGGCTATTCCATCTCGGTTACAGTCCAGTATAGAGATGCTATGATTGATAATAATAACATTTTTATTTTATTTTGTTGAATTTGTTCTAGGATTATGGTATTATCCTCCACAGAGTTCTCTGCCTTGTATGACAATGGTCGGTTCTCCAAACTTTGGATACAGGTCTTAATCGTTTGGTGGTTTTAGGCTCGTTTTTTTGTTCTGTATTGGTTTGGTTTCGCTTCATTTTTGGTTCGTTTTTGGTTTGTTTTTAGTTCGTTTTGGTTCGTTTTTTGTTCGTTTTTATTTCTGTATTAGTTAGTTTGCAATATAAAAGATATTTATTTTTTCATAGATATATATTTTAACAAAATTCTATAAATTAGATGATAGCAGCTGCAAATTTTGACATTTCTGTTTTTCTAAATCTTCATTTTCTTCTTTTTGTTCGTGCATCATCCAGTTCGGCTTATTTTGAAAAAAAGAAGAATTTTTTGTGTGACATCTTAGCAATTGCTGCCAAGTTTTTTTGCAAGTTTTATTTTTATTCATTTTTGTTTCTGCATTGATTCAAAATTTTTAAATCTTTGCTTTTCTTACACTATGCCAAATTTTTTAGCCTGGCAGAAAATATATGCATAAAAGGAACATTTTTCAAAATACGGTTTTACATTCGCAATTGTGTGCAATAATAGTGCAAAACTTTATCTTTAGCTGGCGAACTTATCTGTGCAAATTCAAAGTTTACAAATAGCAAAATATTGAAATAACAAATTGCAGGGCACAATTAAAAATCGTACTGAGTCCGAATTTAAGGAATTTGAGCCGCGTCTCAAATCC